CCCCATCCACAGCCCTGCCCCATCCACAGCCCTGTCCCCATCACAGCCCCGCCCCATCACAGCCCCACCCCATCCACAACCCTGTCCCATCCACAGTCCCACCCCCTCACAGCCCTTCCCACCCCCGGACTCGGTGCTTCCTCCTTAGTGATCCTGGACGCTGGTCCTCTCTCTCCAGCATTCAGCAGTATCCCTGGTGGGCCCAAGGCCACCGGGATGTGGCTTTCTCCACTGCCTCTCACCTCGCCTCAACCTCGCACTCATCCTCGCCGGGCTGCCGCACTCAGGGTGCTCATGCAAGGAGAGATGAAGGACTAAGGAGGAACAAGGTGGCGGTATTAGGCGCCTCCGCCAGGTGATGGAGGGAGCTTGCAGGGAGGGAGGTGTGAAGCCTCTCTCTTGCCCGGTGGGTCCTCGATAAGTCGTTCGGCTCACCCGGCAGGGTGACACCTACCTGAGCCTCGGTCCGCAGGTGGACTAGCCCCAGCCCCGGGCCTCCCCCTGGGAAGCTGTTTTCGGCTCCCTCTGATTCACCTTTGGTCCGGTTGCTGTAGTTTAGATCCAAAGCGCACCCAGAGCCCCACGTGTTGGAAAGATGCCGGTACTGCGGAGGGCTAAGGCTGGCTTGCTGTCAGGAGTTGGGGACTGGTGGGAGGAGACGGGACACTGGGCTGTGGCCTGAATAGATCTGTGTCCTTCCCTGGCTCTTCCCTGTGCTTCCTGTCCATCCCGAGACACCCACCTTCCCTCTACCCAGGCCCTTCCGTACCACTCACCACACAGGCACTGAAACCACTAAAATATGAGCCGAAATAAACTTCAACTCCTTTAAGTGGGGTGTGTCCAGTATTTTGTACCAGCGATGAGGAAAGCGGCCGAGTCACTCCTAGCACCCTCCCCGAGTCCCCAGCTCTGGATGTGCCTGTGCCGGGGTGGGGTGGCAGCTCCATCCTGCCTGTAGATAGGCAGCTTACGCAAGATCCGATCTGCGCATGCGCTCACCCTACCTCTCCACTCGATGATCTTCTAGGTTGTGTACTTCACGGCCACGTTCCCGTACGTCGTGCTGGTGATCCTGCTCATCAGGGGAGTCACCCTGCCCGGAGCTGGGGCTGGCATCTGGTACTTCATCACACCGAAATGGGAGAAACTCACAGACGCCACGGTGGGCTCACTATTTCTTCATTGATAGCTGGCAGGGGCTGAGCTGGAGGCGGCCCTCGGGGATGGGTCCTTGCTCCCCAGGGAATTCCATAGTCACCTTCTACATTATGCGCTGAGGACATTCCCTAGCGTTTCCAGACTCCTGGAACGGTTGTCCTACAGCTGGAGTTGCAGTATGGGCTGAGAGTGAGAAATGAAATCCCTTGAATAGCTTTGGGCTCTCTCTCACACAGTTTATCTGCTGCTAATTATAGTGTGTGGGAAACAGTTCTGCCGCTGGGAGACGGCGGCCCTTAGGTAACCAGAAAGCAGTTTCATTGTGTTAGAGGCTTCAGACATGTGAGCTCACTTTTGCACACCCACGCAGGATTAGCCTGCACTTGACCGCTCTCAAGATTTGCAAACCACAGAGCTCAAAGTGAGGGCATGGTGTTTAATAAGAGTTGGCTTTCCCACCTTGAAGTCTGCTAAGAGCACAGCTGGTGTTCAGTTTGGCTGTGCAGAACAGAGAATCTCCAGACAATACCAGCTTAGACTCTCACTCTTTCACTGCCACACCACAGTAGGCAGCCACGGGCCAGCTGAGTGACGCCATGGTGTCAGCAGGGACCCAGGCTCCTTTCTTTCTGCTCCATCGTCCTTGTGGACAGCTTCTGCTAGAGCCCCAGGCATCCATCATGTCCACGTGAGGCAGAACTACTCAGCCATAAGGAAGGATGAGTGTAGGTAAAAGGATGCAACACGCTCATACTCATAAGAGAAACAAATCAGAGGGGCTGGCGAGATGGCTCAGTGGTCTAAAGCACCTACTTGGAACAAGCTTGGCAAAGCATCAGGGACCACGGTTCAATCCCCCAGCACCACATGCCAGCCAGCCCCGCCCCCTGGTGGGCTGAGCTGGCCACACACTAAATAAATAAATAAATAAATGTAAAAAAAAAAAAAAAAAAAAAAAAAAAAAAAAAAAAGAAACAAATCAGAGCCACGTGCGCCAGCAGCATAAGGTCTCACTAGTGGGAGGAGGTGAATGAGCAAATAGGACCCCAAAATGCAGAACAGATACTGTAAACTGGGGAGAAATTATCCCAAAGAAAAGAGCAACTGTGATGGGGAAAGGCGAAAGGAAGGAAGGGGAAAGATACATGCAAACAAGATAATTATACTTCTGGTTTCTCTTGCTCATTGAAAGAAAGATTTGTGCTAATACTGCGTGTACAATATCTCATACCTGTATCTTGTACTCTGAGTAACTACTCTGAAGAGAACAATATGCAATGCTTTAATTATTGTTACTCTCCTATGATCTTGGTTTTTTCATGTATTTAGTACAGTCTACAGGATCTCACTACACAGATCTGACTCGTAGTGATCCTTCCTGTTTTTCAGCCTCCCAATGCTGGGATTACAGGTGCACGCGACCACTCTCCCAGTCTCATTTGCTGTCTCAGCATGCCCCGGGGGTGGGCTTGGCCCTACAGGCCCGGGATTGAATCCCCGGCCCCTGCATCTGCCTAAACAGGGGCTTTAATCCACTGAGCTATCTGGCTGGCCCTCTCCTATGATCTTGTTTTGAAATTCTGTTTTTTCTTTGAAGAAAAAGACAGACACTGGTCTCTCTTTTAATTTTTTTTTTCTTTTGGTAGTGGGGATTGAACTCAGGATCTTGTGCTTGCCAGGCAGGCATTTATAGTGCTGAGCTATCTCCCCAGCCCTGTCCTCTATTTTAAAGAAGAGAAACCCCTAAAGTTTTTATTTTATTTTTTGTGGAACTGGGGATTGGACTCAGGCTTATTCTACTGAGCTATCTCTTCAGCCCCTACCCCTGAAGTTAGACCTCATTCCTTTTCACACAATGGGTCAGAAACTAAGTCCTATTGTCACCTAGCCGCCAAGTCTGCACCTCTCTTAGAAGGGAAGTTGGGTGTCTGGCTGCCCCTAAATCCACGCCAGCTCTGTGTCTCAGGCAGGGGGGTAAATGACACGGGCCTAGGCATGGGCTTTGCCCAGACATGCTTGAACTTGGTTGTTGCATACTTTCAGCACAATTTGAAAGCAAGATTGAATTTATCAAGATGATAGGAGGTCCATCATGTAAATCCTAGGTCTGTAGCTCAAGCTCTTGCATGAGCTGAGGTTTTATGGGGACATTCAAGAGGAATTATGGGACAGAAGCAAGATGTGTCATCAGCCAGGCTCAGGGAGAGGCCACTCCCGTGTCACGGAGGCCGCTGCACTATGATTAGGGGCTGCAGGACTTCAGGTTTCTAATAGCAGCAGTAATCCGCAGGCATTATCAATTCAGCGTGTTGTATCTGTGGTCCTCTTTTGCCAATGTGAATTGGTCTTTTGAGAATATCTCAGCCTAAAAAGTTCTCTCCCTTCCCACCTCGTTTTACACGGCAGAAGTGTAAGCGTGAAGTATGCACCTGATTCCTGGAGTTCCTCACCTTTGATTAGACAGAGTTCTAGCCTCCCAGGTAATTTAATGCAAGGGAGGGACATTTATCATTGATGTTGGGGTCCAAACTTGTCTTGTCCCTGACTGCTCTTTCCCTGAAGACCAGGTTGTTCTGGGTCCATGAGACTCCACTCCCCCAGGCCTGCCCTCTCCTTTGGCGACCTTGACTGTCCTCTGCTTTGCCTCCCAGGTGTGGAAAGATGCTGCCACTCAGATTTTCTTCTCTCTGTCTGCTGCCTGGGGGGGTCTGATCACTCTTTCTTCTTACAACAAATTCCACAATAACTGCTACAGGTAGGTAGAGGGACTTCCAACGTCCAGAGGGCACCGGTGAGCCAAGATAGGGTCAGAAAGGAAGAGCCGGCTGAGTTAGCAGGGCCAGAAGGTCACATCCACCCCCTTGCCTGAGAGTGAGATTTGCCTGTGATGTGCGAAGTGACCTTCCAGGGCTGCTGGGCCCCAACCTGCCCTGCCAACCAGACTCTTGGTGGGGTCTAGTGGTGTCTTACAGGATGGAACTGAGCTCTTTTGGGAGCTGCTGCACTGCCAGCTGTGCTCTGTGGCAGTCAGCTGTGGGACCCCTTGTCCACATACCAAGTCAGAGCATCACTTATGCAGTGTGGCCATCAATCACTTGATGCATGTTCTTCTAGAGACCCTAAAGGCAAGGCAGCATGACATACAGGAAAGAGCACCTGGAAACCTGACAGGCGATCTGGTTGTGACCTCCCGTTACTGTAAACCTTAACAGCATGGACATGACACCTCCTTCGCTAAGTGCCCATTGCTCCATCTATAAAGTATAGATTGCAATATTTTGCTGTGGGGTGAATGCTGATCTGATATATGCAAAGCTGTAAGAGCAGTTTTTTGTACCTAGTAGGTAGTCAATAAATGACAACTGCTACTGCTATTTTTAAAATAATATATACAAGACTTTATGAATGAAGAACAAGGAAGAAACATTCAAATGTGTGCCTGTCCTTAAATAGGATGGAGGGGAGAGTGCAAGATTATGGGTTTTAGGTTCAGAGAGTCGCATTCACAAGATGCAACAGGCTTACTGAGCACATGTTTGCTTGGTTTTAGAAAAGCCTGTGGATCAGGGAGCAGTGCCTCAGTGTCCAGCACAGAACCCTGGAGTCTCCGGGCATCTGGACTTAGCTTGCGCATCCTGAGCACTTTCTGCTAATACTGTTGGGAGCGAGGGGTGATGACGAGAGCTAGTGGTGGTGATGACATCATGAATGCTGGTCACATTAGGTGGAGTATGTCCTTGGGCTTCAGCAGCTCTGGCCCCTGGCTCTGGAGCAGTGTGCCCTTGTTCCTGTTTTTAGGGTGGCCAAAGCGTGTATTTTCTAGGTCATGCTGGGAGCCCAGGCTATGCCTAGAAAAATAACGAGTCCACAGCAGCTGCTGCAGGCATCCACCCATGTGCTTGGTATTGCAAGAAACTTGACTAAGGGTCAGACTAGTCTCAAGCACCTCTGAAGCATAGAGGAAGGACCACAGCAAGCTGTGTCCTCAGGAGGTGAGATTTGTACTGGGCATGGGTGCAGGTCCAGGAGGGAGCACGCTCCAGATGGCAGAGACACCCTGAGGTGAGAATGAGAGGGAAGGAGTGAAGGGTGTATGGAGGGAGCAGGTGAACGAGGTTGGAGCAGGTGAACGAGGTTGGAGCAGGTGAACGAGGTTGGAGACGGCTCGCTCTCAGCTCCCATGGAGCTATTTCTGTGTCTTCACTGGTGTTAGGCACACAGTCCCGCAGCTCTGTTATGAGGGCTGTCACCCTACCCAGGAGTGAGCGCACAGCAGGACCTCCCTAGTGGCCCCACATCTGATGCTGTCTAGCTATTTATCATAGCAGCTATATCAAGACCCAGTTCTAATCATAGAAAGCCAGAGCCTCCTCCCAGAGGTCCTGGGTCAGGCAGCTGGGCAAGGTGCTTTGGAGCCTTTCGGTGCTCTTCACATCAGACTCGGGGCGTCTGGGTCAGAACTGATAGTTCTTCCCTTAGGTGAGCTCCTGCCAGTGCCCGGGTACGCAGTCTCGTGTGTGCACACGCACCCGTGTATGACATATTTGGTTTGATCTTCCCATTATCCATCTCACAAAGCCCACCTAATAGCAAACTCTGGTCTCTTCCTCTCAGGGACACTCTAATTGTAACCTGCACCAACAGTGCCACAAGCATCTTCGCTGGCTTTGTCATCTTCTCTGTCATCGGCTTCATGGCCAATGAGCGCAAAGTCAACATTGAGAACGTGGCAGACCAAGGTAAGGGGTGACAGGCTTGGGCTCACTTCCTGGGCTCCTCATGCATGCTCTGTCTGGAAGGGGGCCTTCGAGGGCAGCTGGAGACTGAGGGAGCCCAGTGTGCCCTTCCAGAGGGACCAGGACAGCGCCAGTGGGAAGCTTAGTGCAGAGTTCACGCTTGCCTATGTCTAGCGAGCAAGGGGGCTTCCAAACGCTCTTTCCTTCACCTCTCTTCTGTCCTTTGTCTTTTCTTGCTCATATTAATTTTGTTCCAGCCTGAGTAGGTCAGGTCCAGGTCCTAGTAGAGGGGTCATTAGGCAAACCCGGTGTCGTGGAGATCAGTGACCACCAGCCTGGGTCTTGGCAACTGAGCACCATGACTTCACGAGTGCTGACCCCAGGGAGCCTTTGCCTTACCAAGTACTTTCCACTTGTTAGGTCAGATGTACTCTCCAGGCCCTCTGCTAGTTAGCAAGGCAGACTTCCTTCCGGGTCCTGCCCCTGTGAGTGCTCAGAATGGATGGTGCATGTGGGCAGGCTTGTAGGAGAGTGTTCTCTACATCCTCGGAATGGCCAGCATTTATCTGATGCTTTGGAGTTGGCAAACAGCTTGCTTGCTTTAAATCTCATTTAATCCGTATTTGTATGAGAGAAAGCATTAAAGATTTTTATTTAACTCTATTTCCACCCAGCTTGGTTCTACAAAAGACTTGGGTATTTTGAAGGCTTGGAGGATCTTCCTTGTGGCTGAGACTGCCTGGGTGTGGGGCCGACCCACCCAGCTGTCCAAGGGTCAGGCTTGATTGGTTGTCAGCCCTCCTCCCTCCAGGTGCTTGCTGCTGCTGCTCTCAGATAAAGGCTCAGAGAGAACTCAGCTCTGGAAATGTCACCTTTTTGGTGGGCCCGCTGAGGATAATTAATTACTACTTGGCCTCCCGCTGATAGGTCCCTAAAGAGTTAAATGAGCCAGCGCTTTCCCGGGCGGGCGGGTGCACTGAGCTGTGAAACCCAAGGGGTGTTTGGTTCTGCAGCAGTGACTAAATTAGAGGGGCCCTGGGAACTGAGCAAACTCTTTTTCCTGGTTGAGACGTCTCTAACTCCCTGGGAGATGGGCAGAGAAGGTGAAAGGTTCTGTCCTAGGGAGGGGTGCGTGTATTTGTGCATGTGGGGCGCAAGCTAGAGCCACCCCCAGGTATCCTGTAACCTCATTTCTGCCCGGCAGAGGCGCTGAAGCAGACAGGTTCTGCCCCAGTTTCTCGCAGAGCTGAGACATTTTGCCATGTGCTGTGATGGTACTGAGCTAGTCAGAGACCAGTGTCCAAGCTGCTATAAATAGTGCTATCTGCAAGGCAGAGGCAGGCTGGGTATGGAAACCATTCGGGGCTCTTTCCTGCCCTAGGAAAGGGAGATGCCACTAAAGGAAAGCAAAACAAGAGAGGAAACACAAACCTCAAATAGAATTGCTTTTGTCCTCGAGGTAGAAAGCAACAGGCAATGGTTTCTCTCTGAAATTGCCTCTTTCAATTATTTTTCGGTTCCTCTGATCTGACAGGGACAATAGCACTTCTAACAGGTTCTAACCTGCTGTGTCCATCTCTCCAGCTATGGGTCTGAAATCTGGGCTCAGGCCAGTGTTAAATCCCAGTCCCACTCACTCGTAGCCAAGCAAAATTATTGTCATACAGATGCTCCGGGTAGGTTTGCCAATGTAAGCAACGTCAGTAAGCTAGATGCAAATTTTGGTGTTTAGGCAAAAATAGATTCTCTTTACTGAGTTAAAGCAACTCTGATTCACTTAGCATTCCCTTTTTATTTTCCTTGTGGTACTAGGGATTGAACCCAGGGTCTTTGTACTGAATGACATCCCTATCCCCTTTATTCTATTTTTAGATTTTGGGACAATGTCTCCCTTGATCATGTTGGGCTCAAACTTTCAATCCTCCTGCCTCAGCCTCACAGAGCACTGGGGTTAGAGGTGTGCACCACCACAGCCAGGGTGCAAGGCCCTTCGGAGTGAGGCATTTTTGGGAAAAGTGTCATCCTAAGTCTCAGCCATGTTAGAATTTGGGGGTGGCAGGGGTGATGCGAACAAACTGTCCTGTTTTTCTGCCAGGTAGAAGAAAGAGATGGTTGTTCTTGAGGCTCCATAAAAGTAGCTTCAAGCACAGTCTTCTGCCTTTCAGAAGGTGTCTCCCAGCACCTGCATAATTACCTTTGGGGCAGTGGTTCATTTTCAGAATCTAACTTGCAGACCTATGATGGCGCTTACCCTGTATTAGGAAGATGGGGCCACACTCACAGACAAAACTGGATGTGAATATTTTATTTAGAATTCTTTTAAAAAATTATTCATTTGTTTGGTACAAGGTCTCACTATGCAGCTCAGACTCA